TGATTTTCCTTGAAGAAGCCCTTGCCGACGCGTTGCAGGTTAAACCTATTCATCTCCGAAGGTCCTTGCTGCTATGAAGTACTTTCTGGAGGGAGGCTGGGTGTTGACGCAGGTGCACGTTTGTTCCTATGGTTACTGGGGCCTTCAGAGAGCACAGCTCGCGTTGGCGGTACGAACGACTTCTGTTTTCATGAACTGTAATATCTCGCCTCGCAAGCGGCCGTGTTCACCAGTACAGCGAGTAATTTGAGTTTGTCTGAATTCGCATACTCCGTCAACACTGGGAGCAGTAGGCGGTTAAGTGTTAAAGCAGGCCTGTTTCATTAAGAAATGCTATTCTAGTACGATCCAGCACTTCTGTTATAAAAATAGCCTGAGAAACTGACCTCTGACTGCTCCAAAGAGAGCAAGAAATTCTCCGGATTGTGTAATTGACATGTTTTCATGCCGTTTCTCAAACCTGGTTTTTGTTTTTGGGAAAAGTGGTGTTTAAGTGTAAAACTGAAACAGTTTTTTTTTTGCTGGAGATCAGTGTCGCTCTTCCAGTTGTTCCAAGCATGAATGTGTTCGAGAAGCTGTGTCGGCTTTCTTTTTTTTTTTTTAGCGTGGAATTAACCTTTACTTGTCCCTCGAGTGTGAATATTGCAGTCTTGGGTGAATAAAATGGGCGCAGCACTTTTTTCGGGGTACCTGTGTCGTGGATTTTACGGAGTGATTAATGTCACGTGTGACTCGGAGCAGGGCCGGGAGAGCTGTACATACCGATACGGGATCTGCCAGGTGTTCTCTGTCAGTTATTTTGCCAAGTTCAATGTATTAAGGTACGATGAGTAGATATGAATGGGATTAACTGTGTGAACGAATAAATGACAATTTCATCAAGAGCTTTATTTCGATGGTTCTTTGAGGTCTGTATACAGCTGACAGGGAGAATTACCCAAGGACAACCAAAGGGGAATTTGAGTTTTGTTGTTTTTATTCTCCTTCCAGTATCCAGGGTTGTAATGTGTAATGCTGAAGTCTCAGAAGGGCCTGTGTGAGCATATTCTTCCTTTGTCTCTTATTGATTTATCTGAAATTGTTTCATAGAAACATATTGTTGATACTGAATTAAAATCAGGATTATAGAACTGATCCCAGTATAGTCTCCTTTCCCTTGTACAGTACTGTATATGCTCTGTGCAGGGAGCCTTACTGTATAGGTGCCCTGTGACACATCCTGAGATTCTCGATTGTTATACTTGGAAAAGCAAGTTGTTTTCCCATGTCCTCCAATTCCAAACAAGAATATTCCTACTTCTACTTGTGTTAAATGGCCTCTGACAGAAGCAGAGATCACCATTGTGGGCTGTTCTGACTGCAGCTAAAAATAGGTTACTGTTCATTTATTTGACTGGCACTTTTATTAAAAATGACTTGGATCGTGGTCATGATAGAGCTCGCTCAAGGGTATGAGAGCTGTATCCCTTATGGGATTTGAACCCGCAGCTAGACATCGGCAAGTCCACAGCCCTCTTCCACGCCTCTTGGAGCCAGCGTGCTTTTTCCCTGACTTCATGTGATCCCAGCCTGCTTGGACATTGTCTACATGGAGCATTTTACGGTTCGGATTCATGGAGCCAGGGGGCAAGAACGCCAGTAGGGCTACTGACAGTCAAGTTAGTATTGCGTGTGTGGTGCTGTGCATCTTTAAACAAAGGAAGTAGGTGTTCTTGCAAAAGGGATACCATAAAGCTTCAGAAACACATTGGGGAAAAATACTGGCAAAGCTTTGCAGTCTTTTTGCTGAAATGGGTTATGCTTTTGCCACGGTGCTATTGCTAGCTAACAACCGTGACTAACGTCTAGGTTTTTTTTTCCCCTGCTTGTGTTGGGGGTGAACCATGAAAATTACCACGACATTGCAGAACATCATTATTGCTTTAATCGAATTGAAATGGAGTTGTTTTGCCTTATCCGTTTCATTATGGATGACGGCAGCGCCCCGCTGAAGTCGATACAAACGGGATTGGGAAAATGAAGACGGCACTGCACCCCCTCATTAAGATCGCACGACTGACCAGTGATTCTAGCAAAGTTCAATTAACCTTTCCCTGCTGGGGGGAAAAAAAATGTCGAAATGTTTCAATGAAGATTTCGTTTTTCATAAAGCACCAACATTATAATACTAGTCTTAGAAAATACCGCACTCCCCCCACCATCACAATTTCTACCATGAACATGGTAGGACCATATCCCACAACCTCTTCCACTCCACTGAAGTTCAAGGGCGATCCGTCCTGGTCTGAAAGTGAGTCAGTTTATTAAAAAAAAAAGTGCCATATTGTTCAGAAATTTCCATTTTATTCCACTGATGTGTTCATTTGATTGGGGACTGCACAGTTTTGCTCCCAGAATGCTCCAGGGTTTTCAGTTTTTATATTACAGGGTCGCTATGACACCTGTGAAGCCCGCAGGACTCTCTCTGCCCTGACGGTGCTGGTGGGATTTAAGGTGTATTAGGATGGAGCAGAAGTATTCAAATATTTTGGTAGCAAGCCCTAAAGTGGAATTGGAAATGTACTTTCCCTGATCTGATTCAAATGCAGTCAAAAATACGGCTTGGTTTCCCCAGTCGACCCCAGCAGCCCACGCCTGGGACAAGTATGGAGTTCTGTGTGTGAGGTGAGAGCCCTCTCGGAGGTGGCCGGTTACCGTTACTGCACTTTTCAAGAGTGCTCAACTAAGCATTTTTTGTTTTTCACTATTGTTCGCATCTTTTAACCTGCTGCTGCGTTCCTGCCTACAGAATGAGGGTTGGGCTCAATAATGTTAGAAGTTCCTTCAATGATGAATCATCTGTGCACTGGCGGAGGTTACAGCTCGTCAGAGCAGGCTGAGCTGGAGCTTGTGACGGTGTAGCTATGGAGCTGTGGAGCTGGAGCTCTGACAGTAGAGCTGTGGAGCTGTGGAGCTGGAGCTCTGACAGTAGAGCTGTGGAGCTGTGGAGCTGGAGCTCTGACAGTAGAGCTGTGGAGCGCGGAGCTGGAGCTCTGACAGTAGAG